GTAACTCAATGTCGTGTACCAAAACATCTACTAGTTCACAATATGAGGTCGCCGATGCAACCCCCCCCCCCCCAAATAAAAAAACAAACAAGAACTATGCGTTCGGAAAATAGACCATAGGTAAAAGATAGACCCATAGCAGTCTTAAAGAAAAAATCACCCATGGATTCAGGAAGCGCGGAGTCACAACTAACGTCGTATAGTAGCCAATGAAATATGTATGTACTCAACAAAGGAATATCAAGCACAGTATCAGTACATAAAGTCAATAGTCTATAAGATCATTGGCAAGCGACAATTGTACAAAGATGAAAATGTAACCACAACTCAGTAAAACTTGACAATGTGCATTGATAAACAAATTCAGAAACATAAACATGATGTCCTCAACTTGAAAAAATAATCACAACAAACATGCTCAAAAACATTGTAATGAAGCCATCTGATTCATTCATGGAACCAATACACAAAAAATTACATCTGTACCAAGAATGTTATTCAATCCAATTGATATAGACCATGTACCAAGCATGATACTCAAGCTAACTAATGGATATTTAAAACTAGGCATGGATCCTAACCAATCAATAATATGTATCAAATGTGGTAGCCGATCCAAACAAGATATATCTTATACCAAGTGTAGTTCCTGAACAACCTAAAAATATGTATTATGAGAGGTACTTGAGCCATCAACAGTCCTACGCAATCACAATCATAATCACAATGAGTTTAATCACACTTGAAAATACAAGGAAATATGATGTTTATTCCATTGAGGTGTCAATAAGACATCATTTCTGTTTCATCCTTTTTATCTCCATAACCGTGTATTGTACAAGTAATACTAAAAAAACATTTGACATGCACATGTACATAAATGGAAAACAAATTCAACAATAACCTCTTTTATGATATATAGTTTCTTCTTGGCCTATAAACAATCAATATAGCACATAATTAGGTCCAAATAGCCTAAATGCACCCAAATTATATCTTAATCCCATACCCCATGCCATTGTCACGATTATCCCAACCAAACAAGGGGTTTTCCACCATTAAATCAAACAAAAATATCTCTTAAAGTCACCGTCATAGATTCTAAGGCCTAGGAATTAATTTACCAAGTTAGGAGAGTAATTTACTTACTTTTACAGATGATTCTAATGAAAAATCAATAAAAATACCATAGGTTACTATTACACTTTCCCAAACTATTGTTGAATGATAATAGGCGGTTTTTGACTCTTTTGTTCATTATGAGTGACTTATCTGTCATAGCGGTCCAATCCCACTATAGTAACGACTCCATAGGAGGGATATTCCTATATAGAGAGAAATTACTTGGACACCATAGCGACATGTTCCCCTTTGAAGTAGTATTTCACTCACTATAGTGTCAGGCACGATAGAACCTAAAAATACTCCAAAAATTTGCCATTTCGCGATACACCTTCAAACCTTGACGTTCCAAACCAATTATTCATGCCAAGTTCTATATCAGACGTTTTACTTACCCGAATTGAGTTATAAAAAGTTCTATGGACTACTTAAAGTATTAGAAATAAGAAAAACCACTCTACTTAGACGTTTCACACCAATCCTTAAACCGAATTTTGCTAGACCCCATCTTGCTCAAATTTCGTCCAAGACTAACCACCTCATAGTTTCAAGTAACTACTCTAGAAATTTTCTCGCATGATTTCTCTTACAATTACCTCACCCATGACAACCTAAAGGGTCGTTACATGAGCTCAATTGCAAAACGAGTGACATAAAAATAAGAGGTTGAGAAAGAAATTAGACTTGTTGAAGAAGCATGTCTACAAGAAATCATCTGCAAATAAGTGATCATCTGAAGAAGACAACCAAGCTTCTTAAAATGAAAGTGATGATGACTTTGATATCATGAATGAAAGAGATAATAACACGAATAACGTAAATGAAAGTAGCTATAATTACGATTAAGATGGTTTGTAGTATTATTGATGATTAAAATTTGAAATATTTTATTTTAGACAAGTTAAGAATCATAAATTGTTGACGTGGATGTTATAAATTATGTTTTTTTTGTTAGTTGAAATGGTTTACATTAGACATATATTGATGGTGTTTTAAAGAATTACCAAGGGTTTCAAATAGATTTTGTTTGATTATGAAATTTTTATAGCGACTTAAATGTGAACTATAATTTAATTTGGGATTTCCACGATAGATGTTCATGAAAATTTTCTTGGATGAATTTCTTTTTGCCAATTTACTTGGGGTATTTCATAGAATTTTCTTAGGAAATCATTTCATAAATATTTATAAGAGGATTTATTTTATTAATCAAGGCTACTAACCTCAAATGTTTATAAGAATTAACTTGGGGATATTCATAGGATCTCCAAAATTTCATAAGTTCCTTTTCACATGAAACTTTACTGAAAAATTCTTGCAAATGTCTGCTAGTTAATCACCGATAAATTAGTAAATAACACGTGCGGGAATTTATTCTCGCAACTAACTTATTGTCACGACACGAAAATGAGTGTGATGGTACTCATCTTATTCCACCAAGACAAGTCAGCCTAAATCTCGACCATTACAATAAAATTACGAAAATTTATGTTCAACTTAAAAATACCCCCAAAATCTGGTTGTCACGTGTACAAGCTCTAAAGTATTACAATCGAGTCAAAACAAAAATACAAGTCTCATATGACATTGTTGCTATAGTAGAACAAGATCATAAATAGGATTAAGAAGGTCTGCTGAGATGACACTGCTACCTCACAAATCTCCAAGAAGCCTCAGAAAAGAACAGAATATATCATAAAAATCTAGGCTAGTAACCTACAAAAAAAATGTAGAAGCAACGGGTGAGTACCAAACCACACGATACTCAGTAAGCAAACGTCTAAACACAAGCTAAGGGGATGAAATATGGGTACTCCTACCACCCCAACCAAACCTCCACAATTACAACCTGCATAAAATACAGTCTAACCTATTAGTTCACATTTACATAGCACGTAACTCTTCACCAACACCTTGACAAATTACATATATATCCTCCACAACAACACTTTACCGAATTACATATCCTCAATAAAAACACTTCAACAATTTACATATCCTCAACAACACTTCAACAAATTACATATACTCAATCACAAGCTCAATATTCAAAAATTACAAGTTCCACAAAAAGGCAATTACAAGATCCGCAAATCACAATAGCAAGTTCAATAATGATAAGTATGTGCAATGCAATGGAATGCAATGTCAAGTATAGTGATGCATGTCTTCCCTAACGATACACACCCGTTGTCTCTATGTTTGGGACCCATGGGGGACATATTTGTCAATGCATCTGTCGCGGCGTAAGACACAACCCTCGATAATAGTAATCATCACGGTGCGCGATACGTTCCTCAAAATATAGTAACCATCGCGGCGCGCGATACGTCTCTCGAAATGGTACATCCTCTTTAGGTTCTCATTTTTTCTCAATGCACATAACACGTGTCACAAGTCACAACCATGTCTTAAAATAATGTGAATGACATGTTCACACAAATAAAGAGGATATGACCACTTTCATAACACTGCACTATTCACAACAACATCAACAATGATTCAACAAACTTTTTGAACCATTCATTATTATCAACACATCACACATAAGCTATTATTCACATTGCCTTTTATTACCCTTTGTTTTAATCATTAGAATTATATTATTCGACGAATTAAGATTTAACCGTAGATTTGAAATGCAGGAAATATGATATTTGAAAAATTGATTGGAATAAAGATTTATAAACTTTATTATAAATTCGTATGAGTTTTGGGTCTAAGATAGAGATATAGCAATATGAATGTTGTTAGTTGCGAAATCATATCGTGATTATTTATTTGAATAGATTTTATTGGTTTGGAAGTCAACCGAAAGACGAAGGCTCATGTTCTACAGTTATTGTTAGACTATTCGATACAAGTGGATTTCTGGTGCGACTACCACACCACTTGACTCTCGTAATAGGGGGGGGGCTCAGACCCAAGAGTAGCAACAAGCTTCAGTTGTTCAGGATGCGGTAGGGGCAACTACCAGTAGATCCCCCGGTTCAGAATGATGTTGGACCAACAGTTGGGGGTCAAGTTGCACTGGTGGTTGTTCTGATAGAGGATGAGCAGCGTAGGTATGAGAGATTTTAAAAAATGGACCCACCTCACTTTCAGGGTTGGAAGAGCGAGGATGCTCATGAGTTGTAACTACCTACCGAGAGTTACTAGAGGTGGTTGGATTAGCTGAGTCACACGGGGTTCGATATGTTACACTCCAGCTTCGTGGACCAGCGAGAGACTGGTAGATAACTTATTCGGGTTAGGCTGACTTGTCTTGGTGGGATAAGACGAGTGTCATCATGTCCATTTTTGGATCATGACACTTATGTAGCTAGAGATTTTAATTTCTAAAATTTCAAGTAATAGTTGGCTACAAAAATTCTTTTCACCTGATTTCAATTGACAAGAAGATTCACATCAAATTACTTTGAGAATTTTATTGTACTACACCACGAAAATCTCTAGATAATGAACACTTTTCTTGTAGATAGAAAGAGAGAACTAATAGGAAAGAGAGAACTAATAGGGGAGAGGAAAAGGGAAGGAGAGAGAAAGGGGGAAATTTGAAGGAGTTGTGTATTTGACTTAAAATATGATATGAAATTATCAATAAAGGAGACTAATATGTAATTATTTGAAAGTATAGAATGAATAAGTATATATGCCTGGAATGTTTGTACTAGATTAAAAAAATCAGTTAGGTCAACCAAAAATTATAAGTTAGGTCCACATAAGACAAGCCCACTAGAAAATAGAGGTACTATATAAGTACATATCAAAGAGTTGAGTGTTTCTCTTTACCCTCTCATATAACAATTTATTTTTTTCTCCTCCCTTTTATGTTTGAATAGAAAAAATCCTCAAAATGTTGAAGCAATAGATAATCAATGGCATCTCCCAATTATGGTACGATAAAAGAAGTTCATGTGCTGCTTGTGGATAACGACAAAGAGTTTGTGACTGAGATGATTAATTTGTTGAAGTCCTATGACTATAAAGGTAACATCTGTAAAAATATATAAAACTTATAACCTTTCGCTTTTGATACAAGTAAATTCTATGTGCTTTTTCTTTTAAAACAGACTTAATTGGTATGATGGATGTTATCCCATTTGTTATTTTAAGATCGATATTTTTTAAGGTTTCATTTATATATCTTACAAATCTTAGATTCCTCTTTTCTCTTTTATCCTAATACTGTTTGTATGCAGAATGAGTTTTCTGTGGATACTAATAATCAAACTAGATTCTCTATTTTTGATTCTTCCTATAAAAATGTCACGCAATAGATCAGCTTCTATGTCCCTTTAGGGAATCATTTATTCTACACTTGACCTTCTTTATGAAGAAAGGATTGGGGGAGGGGGGGGGGGAGGGGGGATTTTCCTAGAGTTTCAAATAGTTGGCGAAAAATAATTTAATTTTCTCAAAAATTATATTTGAATGTTTAGAACTTTACTTCAATTATCACTTTATCTATCATTTGATAACTACAATGTTAAGGTGGTGGAGGCACAAAATTAGGGTTAAAGAAGGAAGGACAAAGAGCAAGAAAGGACAAAATAAGAGCTGATAGGACTTTCTACTTTGCGATAACTTTTAATTTTGTCTTTTATCATATGTAGAAAAAAAACAACTGTGGAACCTTGATCATAAAAAAAAAAAACTTCCCCCCCCCCCCTTTTTTTTTGCTTAATTTATTTATTTTCATCATTATAATTCAACAAAAAAATCATCTTCTAAAAAATATTTTATTAATTATTTTTAATATACACATTTTATTTCCTTATTTTGACCACACATAAATCATAAATTTTATAATAGAATTAATTTATTAATTTTTTCTTAATTTGGAAGAAAACAAAATTTTGGATCTAGTTTATGGTTTCTTGCACTAATTACTTTATGTCTCAACCTTAATGTGAACACAATCGACAATTGTTAAATCTTTGAAAAGAATAAGTAAATATTATAATTCATTTATCCGAAAATTATTTTTAAGGATGTTTTGCTTGAACTATTTTACCTTGCAAAGAAAAAAGGTATATATCTACAAATTTATAGTAAAGGTGTGCTTCTGGCTACTTCTTTTTATTTGTTTAGTTTTTCAATAACTTTGTTAGAATTCACTATTACTTTTTTTTTCAAGGTGTATCAAATTATATTTGCTTGAATTTCATTGCTAACGACTTTTGTAGGTATGATGTAATATTAATGCATAAAAGAAACTAATTTAGAAATAATAAATAAAGCAACTGTAGTGATTAACTAAAAGAGAACTTTAATTTGACAGCATGATTAAGAATGTATATAGCAAAATATGTTAGAAAAAAGGAAGTTTTCCTTGTTACTTGTAAATCATTTTATCATTGCTACATCTTTTAATCTTATTTGTTGCATATTTTGATCATATTATCTTGGGGGGTTGATTACAAAAATAGTTTTATGATTTCAACAAGTTATTTGAATAAATTGAAATAAATTCTTATTATCCGTATGTATGATCTTCTCTAAACTACCTAATCTAATTATTAATTCAAAATAGTATTGTACATAGCGTTATTGTGTGAACCTTTGTCTAAGATTGCACACATCGATTAAAACTTAAGTTGATTAAAATATATTGTTGCATAAATAAGGTGTAGCAATATAACCTAAAAAATATAATTGAATTGGTATATCCCGTTGATAATTTTGTACTATTCTCTTCGCTGAATTTTACAATATATTAATGCAGTTACGACGGTTAATACATCTTCAGCAGCATTGTCAATGCTTATCAGAGAAAAACAAAAATTTGATGTCATTATAATCAATGATCATTCATCAAACATGCTTTCTTTGGACCTCTTAGCTAAGGCTGTGGCCATGGATATAATTTCAGTCGGTAAGTTTTTATTAACTCTTTCACTTATGACGTCTAATATGGGTTAGTTGAGTTATTCTTAATTAATCCAGTGTAACAAATTTAGCCATAAAAAGTTCACCATTAATTGGTTTCTTAATAGTTCGTAGCTATAGTAATTTTCTATAATCCATCGTTAAATATGATTAACATTGAATCTTTTTATTTAGCGACATAAATTACTGATTACTCATTCTTATTCTTTCAATTTGTGATAGCTAGTTAGATAATATTTGTGTTATAATGAATATGCATTACATTAACAATTTACATAATAATGTATGATGTAATTGAATTCTAATTGTTACTTTCTCAAAATAACTATGCAGTGATTTGTGATAAATACAATGAGTTCGTAGCAAAGAAGGTTTTGAATGAGGGAGCTTATCTTTACTTTGAAAATTCATTTGAGAAGGATATTGTGAAATACTTATCAAAATTTGTATCGAGGAAAAAAACACAAAGGCAACAAGTGGAAGAAGGATCAGAAATAAATATATATCAAAACAATAATATTATTGGAGACAATGGAGAATCCGAAGAGAGACAAAATGTCTCAAATACTACAAATCAAAGAAATAATATTGATGAGGCTGGAAATGATGTGGGGTCGAATGGAAAATACAAGTTAACAAAGAAGAGAGAGAGAGAAAATACGAATGAGGCTGATCAAAGAGAACATCAAAGTAGTGATTTTATTAGGAGAAAAGCTTGCCTAGTTTGGAATGACGATCTTCAGGCAAAATTTATAAAAGTTGTACACCAAATTGGGATAGAAAGTAAGTTTTCTTCACTATTATAGTAATAGCTACAACGTTAATTTGTTTACAATTAAGGCATAACAATTATTGTATTTACATGTACTCTCACTTGATTTGAAAAAAATGTTATTAATTTAAACTTACATTTTTATGGAATATGCAGGATGTCGCCCGAAAAAGATATGGGAGCAGATGAATGTGCTTGATATTACTAGGACACAAGTGGCAAGCCACTTACAGGTACATTTTTAAAAGAGTAGTGATAAATTATATATTATTTATATGTGTTTAGTACTAGAAAAATAATTATTTCAAAATGTTATTTGCAAATATATTAATGCGAGAAGTTATTATTATTTTTTCAACACTCATTATTTTGATTTTATATAAAAATCAAGTAAAAAGTGTTTTAATTTTATCTTATTTTAGCATGTAAAAGTTTAGACTTTATTTTTACCGTCTTATACTCATATCAAAGCATTACTAATAAACCAAGGTTAGCGTAAATTTTTGTTGTTTTTAGTGATAGAAGTTAATTATTCGTTGGTCAACTCTAATATTTTGTAGTTCAATGAAAAAAAATATTATACTCAATATTTAATTCATATTATTTGAAAAGAATTTTACCTTTCGCTAATTATCAAATATCAAAAATATTTTCTATTAAAATAAATTTGGTCATTTCAATCACACCGAAATATCAATAAATTTAGATGATAAACATATACATGATCTCACTCTCTCTTCTTATTTTTTCTGTAATACCATTTAGAATTATCGTCTCCACTGGAAAAATTCAGAAAAGAAGAAATCTACTCGTCGCTCATCAGACCAGAGATTCTCAAATAGTTCTCAGCAAATAAGTAGCTTTCAAAAATCTGGGACTATCCCTTCTCTTCAAACAAATGAAACAAATCTGCAAGTTCACTCAAATCGAACCCAAATAGTGCCAGAGTTTCCATTTCCTAATCTCAAGACTAAGAATACTTCTTTTGGAGGAGAGAGTTCAATCCAACAACTTTATCGTCCACAACTTCATGCTCAACCCTATTACTCCACCATTTGCAATCCATTCAATGACTCGTCTCAGTGGACCAAAACTTATTTTGCTGGTGAGCTGCAACAACAACATGGACCCTTACTTGATGTTTTGGGTTCACAAGGACTACAAATATCAAATATTGAGAATACTAGTTCTAAACCTACCATGGCGTTCAATGGTGAATATCATAATATTCAAAGTTATTACAACATGAATCACAATGTGTCCCATGGAGCATCATATTTGGGTAGCAAAAAAATGTCCAATGAAAATGTTGGGAATGCTATAACTAATGACAAAAACTTGAATATCAATGTAGACAATGTGACAACTATTTTAGGTAGCAGATTGATACCTGATATACACGTTGGAGATACATCCACTAATGAATTCAGTGCAATAGAGACAAATCCAAGCAATATTGTGGTGGCAAAAAATGATCAGACAGAAATTCATGAAGAAAGTGATTCAGATGAGAATCATGATTGTGATGCATATTTTGATTTCGCTAATATAGATTATCTCTCCCAGAATCTTGAATCTCCGAGTACTGACCCACCTAGTGAATAAGACATTTGGTCAAGTGTACTCTGTTGATCAGGTTAGTACTTCTATCTTATTTAGCATTATATAAATTTCATATAACATTATTGATATAAGCTAAAATAAGTATAAATTTTAAATTACTTTTTTTGTGTTATATATGCATATTAAACACCGGATTAAATTGTATTTTCTCCATGTTTGGTTTGTATTATAATCTTTGATGTTCTTCTTCTTCTTAATTAAATGAGTCCTTAGTGTTTGAATAAAATGTCTTAGTATTAAAAAAATGTCAATATTTAAATTTATGAAGTACTTATATTTATCCTTTGAAAAAAGAAGTTTTCCGTGATGGTATTTTCAATTGACTTATTATTTGAGAAAATATTTTTGTCACAACCATAATATCTTCTACATTTTATCATTATGCAGGTGACCAATGTTATCAGGACTATCAATGACAACTCTCATAAGGACTCTTTATAGTAACAAATTTGTTTTCTCAAGTGAAAAGTTCATATACCATATTTGTAGCGACTATTTTTTTTGGTGTGACTTGATTTTATTTAATTTCGAATTTCCATTGGTAACTAATGGTCAATATAAGATTTTAGTATTTCATTAATTTATTGACATGATATTACTGCTTTCTTTAGTATCAGTCCATTTATTTTTTCCATTTCATAACCTTTTGGTTGACTTGATATATATTTTATGTATGAGATAGATTATTTGGTAGATTTAAACTCGATATAGCAAAACATAGTTACAATAAAGATAACTTGAACTGAATGGTGCAAAAGTTAGTAACAAAAGTTATTCTATCTCGCTTTGTAACTTTTGCAGACATCACAAGTTTAAGTAATAAATAACTTTAGCATCATCTAGTCATTTTCGCTTGTTGTATTAACAAGTAATGTACCATTGAGATAAACAAATATTAATATTTCTCAATATATTATTTGTGAATAATATAGAAGGAAGTTATTGAAATGAAGGAAAATTATTATGTCTGTTTAGATTTAAATAATCTAAATCATCTCTAAAAGAATTTTTCATCTCCAAGTTTATAATAATGATAGCAGTGTATTTAATGAAGTTTATGTAAATGTTATGGGTTGATTAAGACGTACTCTTTTTAGAGTTTCCGCAGTGAAATTGAGCTTATAAGAATTCAATGAGGAGGAGGTTTAAAACCAAAAAAATGTTTATAAATTTTTATTGTCGTATTGTGTTGTGTTCTATTAGAAAGTGTCATAGTGACCTAGACCTCTATAGCGGATTTTAAGACTACGAATGAATCTGTAGAAGGTATTTGTAGTAGTTTCCACATCTTATTTATGTCGTGATGTTTTGTAGTCAAGAATCATATTAAGAAATGGAGCTTGACTCAAGCTATCATCGAGTTTGGGATTAAAGGGTCACGTTGTAGTGGTAGGGCTTTTACTATAGCGAGACCTCTATAGCAGGCAGAGACTCACAATAGTGAGGGTGATCTATACCACTCTGACTCACCAAAGTGAGGTAGTGATATCCATAGTAAGTCTTTTACAATGAAGAAGTGGAAACTTTGGTGGACGAAACGTGGAAAGATCGGTATTTTAGTTAATCATTTCAAGATTCTCCCTCATAACTTAAAGAGCTCATCCTAGAAACCAGAATGGTAATTTTGATCTTCTCTGTTTTCTCTTGAGCTCTTTCCTCTAAAATAATTCTTAAGACTTCTTTAGGAGAAACCCTCACAAAAATTGAATAAAATTTAGGTTATGTAAAGAAAATAATTAGTTTCAATTATTCATGGGGATTCGCCATGGTAAAGGGTATTTGCTATAACAATATTAGCCATGATGAGACACAATTTCTATAACGAAGCTCATGTACCAGTCAATATTGATCGTGAAGGTCAACAAAAATTTAGTATTCCCAAGAAAACTTATAATCTACTTTTATATGGATATTTTAAAAAAATACTGAATGGATTGTAACATAAAATAGAAATTAAATATTTGTTCATCCCCGAATGGACTAGGTATAAGAACGGTTGAGCGAGGAAAACAGAAACTAACAAGCAAGTTTGAGAGGAAGTATAACAAACACTCAATGAGCAGAAAGATATCTAGCATTGTAAGATCGTTTTTCATTCATCACTAGTAATGCTTTTAAATAGGCTCACCGCTCAAGTAAAATGCAATATTAAAAGGGCACTAATTTAGTATTAATTTCAATTAAAATAAAATTTAAGAACCAAATAAAAATTATCATAGACTAAGTCCGAATGCAGTAAAATACTAAAAGAATGTTTGTTACCTTTTCTATGTAAATACCAAAAGAAAATTGTAGTAACCTTTTCCACACCTCTTTTGAATGATTTATCCACACTACAACAAAAATAATATTCAGCTACGAAATTCTTAACTACGCTACAAAATTCGTCACTATTTGTTCATTTTTTGTGACAGAAATGAGTTTTTGTCTATAAATATATGAGCCTAAATTATTAGTGACGAAACACAAAAGTTCGTGGTAAAATTTTGCCCTTTAAAGTTTCTCACCAAAAAATATTTTGGCGCCATTTAGTAAGTATTATGAACAACGATCTTTAAGTTATAAGTGAAATTTCTTTTTATCTTTAATAATTTTGCTAAGCTGTGGCAAACTATATTTTGTCCTTAAATTAGTTCTGATTTGGGAAGGAAAAAGTATCGTCACAAATAAGATGTTGTGACATTTGTGACAAACTATTGTTTGTAATCAAACAACTTATGTTTTAGCGGCAAAAAATATATTTATTTGTGACCTTAATTATTGTCGCTAATGTTATGCATAATTAGTAACGTTTAATCTATCGTTTTTAATCAATTAACGATTTAGATACAATAAATTCGTCACAAAATAAGTTCTATGTTAAATTTTTTTCTTAAATAACACAATCACATGATCGAGAAATGCAATAGAGGTTTGTGCAGTGAAAGAATACTATTATACCAACACAATAGTTCTTGTTGGTATACTTGTTAATTTGACATAGAGTTTCTCATGTCTTTATTAAGCTTTGAGGATCTCTATTTATTATACTTAATTACTCATTTTGATTTGTGTAATCTATTTTGACTTGATACATAGTTTAAGAAAGTAAAATAAATATCTGAATCATTTGGTTAAATAATTTAAAAGAGGTATGACCAATACGGTTCCGATAATTAATATAAACTTAGATTGTAATAGCAATTGTATTTCGAAATTAAAATAAGACTACTACATTAGCAGTAGAAACATGAACAAAATGAAGTAAAAACCATGTCAATAATGCACTAACGAATAACAATCATTGTCAATAATGCAAAAAAACAACAAAATAGCTACAACTGCCAATCTCATAGAAAACAACCACCACAAGCAACCATTTTGTATAGAATGCAACAACCAACATCCATGTTCAATCAGCAACCGTTGTCAACAAAGAAACAAGCAGCTATGACTGTAACAACGAACAACAACCATTGACAGGAGTGTAAAAACCACGGGCAAGAATGCAAGGAAGAGCGATAACTACTGCCAAAAAACCAAGAATACGAAAAAAATGAGAAAATGTTAGATAATATAAACTGGTTTTCTAATGAAAAATTCAGCCCAAATACATTACTGCTGTTTTTCTAACATTCTCAGTCCCCTATTTAACAGTAGGTGAAAATAATTTCTGTAGTGATTCTTTTCAAAACCATTCCCTGCTTGACATGCCCCATTCTAGTAATCTAGAACACTTTTCATGTAAGAATCAGACGATGATGATCAAGAAGAAAAACAACGAGAAGGATAAAGAAGTTAAAAGGGAGAATACACACATGAGAAGAAATGGAGATGCATTTTTTTACAATCAATGGAAGGTTACATTATCAAATCATTGTCTTCGTCATCATAATCTGTCTCATTATCTTCATCTTTATTAATACATTTAGTACCTTCATTTCTCTCATGATCACTAATGTAATCTACTATAGTGTCATCATCTTGATCTGAATCTTCTGTATTGTAGTCAACTCCATGTCGTGTTTGAATCTCCATCTCGACTACACTGAAATCTAAGATAGTCGAATCCTCATCACCTCTATGTAACTGGTTTGGGACATCCTCAATATCGTTGTCAATCACTCTATTTTCAACTGAAACATCTTGATACACGTCATCATTAGTAAAACAGAATTCATCACTTTCCACTTTAGAATTTTGAATCTCTGGGACATCATATATATGTCTATCTTGAAATTTTTGCACAATTTGCCAATTCCCTCCTAATTTTGGATCATCTATTTAAAAAATCTTCTTCACGTATGTGTCTAGTACAATAGGATCATGTTCAATACCAAAATCTCTTTACATTAACACTGGTGAAATTATTAACTTTCTGCATTCCCATATTGTTGTGAAGATCAAACCACTTGCATTTAAAAACTACGCCACTATTTTGACATTTGCATAATTTATCACGACTTTGAATATGATACCTAACACCATGAACAATACAATCAGAACATTTCCTTCCACGCAAATCAGGTTCTATTGCCAAAGGATATAATTTCTTGAGAGATATTGTTTTATCCTTATAATACAATTTCATAATCTACAAACAAAAAGTATTGCATTCAATTAGTAATGGAAAAAATTTAAAACGTAGACACAAACAAAGTTATCATCTTAAAAAATCATTTTACTTTTCTTTTGAACAATTGAGGAAATTGTTCTCTATGTTGCTCTTTTATATTCTCAGCACCTTGCTTTATGAACTCAGTTTCATGTTCTCTACATGTTAGAAGATAAACTATTCATACGTGACTGAAAATAACAAAATATGAATGTAAATAAATAAATAAATAAACTTACTTTAGAAAAGGTTCTACTTATTCACAATTATTCAACACATACCATTGAGCTATATTAAAGTCTTTCTTTGGTAATGCATCATAAACTCCTTTGAATGGTCCAACATTATATGAAAATATGTCTAAAACATGTTCATCTTTCTTACTAGA